GAAGGGATTGCGGCGTGGCCATCCCCCCTGGGGGGTGATTTCTCGCTTTCTGTCTCTATGTCTCTCTCTGTCTGTCTGGCAAGCACACGCACTCTATAGCAAGAACCTCTCCAAAAAAAAAAAAAATAATAGAAATCGTTTCCTCTGCCATTCCACATTACTGAATGAGAAGCCTGAGATGGCTTAGCTTGATCTGGCTGAGCTCACTCCACGGGCATTCATTCATTCATTCGTTCAATAATGATTTCTTAGGCACCAACTAAGCGCTGGGCCCAATCCTCTTTACCAGAAATATAGTAATAAAAATACAAATTCGCCACCCGGATGACTTATATTCTACGGAGGAAGACAACTATGATACAAATAAATGAAAATGTAATATATTAGCACTATAATAAAAACTTAAATCAAGCAGAATAAGGGGCTAGAGGAACAGGAGAAAGGTTATTCCTCTTCAAAGAGGTAACATTTAAGCAGAGATGTGAAGTGAAGGAATAAGACATAGAATGTCTGAAAAAATGCACAGCAAAGACTAAAAGAACAAATTCAGCATACCGAAGGCAACCCCTGAACTTACTTTGCTGTATGTGGAGAGTTGATCCTTGAGGCTCTGACAATGCAACATGGTTCCAAGGGCTACTTGCTGGACCAACTGCTGAAATTTTAAATTTCTAGAAACAAAATCTGTCTCACAGTTTACCTGTGGGAACAAATTAATGTTACTGTATAAGCTGTTTACTGGTAGTTTCCAAAAGTACCTTAAGGTTAGAGAGTAAACTATTGATATTAATAGAAGAAGCTGCAGACTCAACAGAAATAAATAACCCCAGAATTTTTTTTTTTTTTTGGAGAGGTTTTTGCCATAGGGCACGTGTGCTCTCCAGACAGAGAGAGACAGAGAGACAGAAAGCGAGAACTCACCCCCCCAGGGGGGATGGTCACGCCGCAATCCCTTCTCTCCATTCTCCTCTCGGAATCTTGGGCATGCCCGTACACGCGCCTGGCATGAGTTTTAAGCCACTGGGTCTGGGACGCAAACTGCGGTTGACTACGTGGGAGTCCAGCGACATAGCTATTACGCTAACTGCTGGTTCCAATAACTCCAGAATTTTAAAGCTGCAGTTCTTCTCCCAGCTTGAGGGCAGAAACTGAATGAAGTGACTCCTAGCATGCCAGTGAGTTAGCAATAGCCCCACACTCAGGAGGAGATTCTGTAACGTCCTGATAATAATTTTTAAAAATCAAGCAAAGGAATGTAAAGGGTTTACGATAAACTCTACCTCCAAGGGACAGCTAATGGTTCTGGTATCTGGACTTTCCAATAACTTACCTCTACTAATACAGTCGTGTTTCCTTCCTGCAGCAGCCCAATCAAGCCTTCTTTGGTCTTTCTTCCATGGAGCTTGGCAGCTTTGCTCCAGCCCTCCTTCTGGGCCTGCTTGTGGAGCCAGATCTCTGCCTACAAGGTGAAAAGAAAGAGCAAGTGATGAGTCTCAGAATTTAGAACTGAAAGGGGGACCAGTTGGTGTAATGGTTATGTTGCTGGACTCCCATGTAGTCAACCATGGTTCAAGTCCCAACCCGGTGGCTTAAACTCATATCAGGCATGTGTGCATGCATGTGCCCTAGATCTCGAGAGGAGAATGGAGGAGAAGGGATTGCGGTGTGGCCATCCCCCATGGGGGGTGATTTCTCGCTCTCTGTCTCTCTGTCTTTCTGGTGAGTGCACGTACCCTATAGCAAAAAACCTCTCCCCCCCCAAAAAAAAAAGAATTTAGAACTGAAAGTCTCTAAAATATGTTCAGGTTCCTGCCTCTGCTTCCCCTAAATTCTATTATAGAAACTAAAGTAACCTGTGGTTCACTGGCAGTCTACTACTAAATGTCAAATACCAGGCATTGTAAGTGGTGCTTTGGATAAAATGAATATCCCTCTATGGGACAGACAGTAGAACTTTCATTATACAGATAAGTAAGACACCAACTGGAAACACCATTAGGATGTGCAAGGTCACAGGGTTACTATGAAGGCACCATCATTTGAGTGCTGGTCTGTCCAAGTTCAAAGCTAACGCAAACCCGTTCAGCTCTCAGGAGCCCTTACAGCTCCCATCAGGAAATACATGCATGTCTTGCACAGAATAGGATCTGTTAACCCTGGGATCCTAAGTCAGTTGCTTTCGAATGGAACAAAGCCAAGGCTGAGGTGGTCATTCCAGCCAGAATCCTAGCGAGGACTCAGTCGTTCCAGGTAGAGCAAGTCTGATTTCCAGGCTTCCCAGCGTGACCTCTCCAAGACTCTGAAGTCTGGCCGTAGCACTCCGCCTTGCACCACCGCTCCCACCTGTTTCAGATCCCCGCCACAAGTCTCCAGAGCTTTTTTGCAGTTTACAAAGGAGTAGCCCGTCTTCCGCCGCAGCTTCATGAGGAGCTCCTTGCTGGAGGCCGAAGAAGCCATCCAGGGCCCAGAGTGAAATGTGTGCCATGGCTGGAGTGACTGGAGGGGCCTCGCCTGGAGGGGACGAGAAGAAAGGGATGAGGACCTGAAAGGAGCGAGGATTCCGAGGCTGGGGGTGGAGAGCACATGCACATCACCGGAGAGGTGACCTCAGGGCTCAGGAGGTGTGGAAGGGCAGCGCGCGGGGCTGCACGCCGGAGAGGCAAGACCGTCGGGAGCAGGGAGGGAGAGAATGCAACGCGGGTCGGGGAAACGGCAGGGCGCACTCGGGACACACAGGAGGAAGGCAGATCAGTGTCGCGGCCAGGACACCTCACCGGGCGACTTCCACTTCGCACGACTAGGCAGATGCGCAGTGACCGCAGCAGCGACATCTCTCCGGTTGCCGTACACTCCCGCCGGCCGGCGCACCGGTGAGGTCCAGACCTACGGCGAGCCGGAAAGGCCAAAACTCTCCTTCCGAACGCGCCAGACGAGGATGGCGCCACCTGCTGGTCGAGGGGTACTGTCGCTTCTCCTACTTGCCTTGAGACTACATTTCTCATCCCCCAACCCCCCTCCCACATCCACCTGCCACACACGCAGGTGAAATATTGGAAACCAAGAGATGAAATAGTCACAAAATAACAAAAGACTTTAAAAACTTTCTTTATTTCCGTTGAGCTTTCATATTCATTATCTATTTATGATTCCAACAAACTTGTGAGGTAGGTGGGTGAGTTCAGGAATTTGCATAAGGTCACCCGGAGAAGTAAGGGGCAGAGTCCCTTCTACAAACCTAGTAAATATTTGTTAAATGAGCAAAATATCCGTTGAACACAAATATCCCACTGCGTGCTGGGAACTGCACTAGGCCTCAGGGGATTAGAGATGAATAAACTGCAGCCCTCCCTCCTAGGTAACCTAATAGTAGGGGGAAAAGGATCAGACAAATGTATGGTCCCAGGAGACAAACAAACAGTTAAAAGGTCTCAGGGAAGTCACATCCAAATTGGAGGCTCAGGGAAAGCAACCTTTTTTTTTTTTTAAGAATTATTTTATTTAACTTTCTTTATTTATTTTAATTTCACCAGAGAGAGACAGAGTGGGCAGGGGTGGGGGGGAAGTGAGAAAGCAAACCCCCAGGTTCGGAATTCAAACCACGTGGGAGTCCAGCACCCTTAACCACCATGCCACCTGTCGGCCCAGAAAACAACCTTTTTTTCAGGAAAGAGACAAAGCGTAAAGATTTTGACAGGTAGCAATAGCCCTTCCAGGCAGAGCCTCGTGCTAAACAATGAAGTCAGGGAATCTTGGTATGGATTTAGACAACAAAGAGAAGACTGTTCATGATTTGGCCACAGGTCCAACACATGTAGGAAAGGAGTAGGAGACAAAGCAGAAAGATAACCTGGGACCACACAGGGGTAGTCTGGATGGATACCAAGCAGAGGAGCTTGTTCCTGCTTCTACAGGCAGAGGATGCTAATGAGAGCTATGTTGGAGGATCACAAGAGTTTGCAGAAGGAGAGAGGAGGGAGGCAGAAAGTCCAGGGGATGAGACCGCATGCCTAACAGTAAGTAAAGAGAGCCCCAACCAAAGGTTCCACCGTGGGAAGAGAAAAGAAGTGAAGGCAAAACACAGTAGGAAAGAAGGAGTGATGGGTCTTGGAAACCTAAGAAAAATACAAGGTGAGATTTTTATGCTCAGTACTAGTTAGTAGCAGTACTTAGTCCAGCATTCCTCTGCATAGTATGATGCTCTGTGATTAGGGCTCCAACTCCAGAAAGGATGATACAGCTACGGTCCAAAGGACAGCTCTGCTGCCCACCCACCTTCAGGGCTGAGAGGACACGGCCGACTTGGAGCCATGGTCCTACCAGACTTCATCTCTAGAAGCAAGAAACAGTTGGTATGAGGCTTCTTCCCTCTCAACCCCAGGGCAAAAGCTGAGTTCTTTGGATACAGAAGAGATTTTACTGCACATTTCTTTTTCTTCAAAAAATTTCGTAGAATTTTTTTCAAAAGGAAGTCCATTCTGTATAAATAAGTAACAGCAGGGCTGAAAGTAATTAATGACAGTCTCTTGTAACCACTGATTTCACATCCCGTTTTTTTTAGAGAGAGAGAGAGAGATTTTTGCTAAAGGCGTTTGTGCTCACCAGAGAGACAGAGAGTCGGAAAGTGAGAAATCACCCTTCCCCCCCAGGGAGGATGGTCACACTGCAATCCATTCTCCTCTCAGTATTTTGGGCACACATGCACACATGCCCAGCATGAGTTTTAGGTCCGGGACTCCAACCACAGCTGACTACACGGGAGTCCAGCGACATAACCATTACACCATTTGCTGGTCCCTTCACATCCCATTTACCCTTCTTACCCGCTAAAAATCCTGAATACCCTCCCAGACTCCTCCTTGGAGAACAGGAGCAGGGACCAGCCTGTGCTACAGCACAGGGTGCTGCTAAGACTGATCAAGCAGGCACCTCCTGCATCTGCCCAAGGGTATCTAGGGGAATGAAGAGAGAAAGAGGAAGGAGAGAGAGGCGAGGGAGGTAAACCCATCCTATTTGGTCCTTGCACTTATGGCTTTGAAATATGTCTTTGGAGATATGCGGTTCCTTCACGAGGCTAAGAGGTTAAGAGCAGAAGAGGCGACGTCAAGCTGGTCCTGGTTCTCTGTGCCTGGCCCTATAAATGTTGACATTCTCCTCCTCATCCCGCTGGGCCAGCTCCAGTTGGAAATGTTGGGGCAGGAGGTGCTGAAAGAAACTCTCTGTTGCATGCTCCTCTCTCATCTTGGAAGCCAGATAGATGGTACCATGGGGCCCGCAGAGATGTTGGAGTGTCCCCAGCAGCAGTGGGAAGGTGGGTTCCAGATACACGATATCAGCCCCCAGCACCACGTCATAGTCTCCAGGGAAGACATGTTGATCAATCCCCCAGGACAAGGCACGGACCTGGGCCCGGCCTCCAGCCGGCACATTGGCCTGGACGTTGCCCTGGATCTGTTCTAGGGCCAGGGGCAGGTCAGTGATGGTAACATCCCCCCCTGAGGGAGAGGAAGGAGGAGAAATGCAAGTCAGAGGGACCAACCAAGGGCTCTAGGCTCCCGCCTGGAAAGCCCAGAGACCTTGGGGCCTAGAGGACAATGTCTTGACAGCCAAAAGCTCACACTTTGGCTTTTAGTTGCCCAACCTCCACCTCACCCACTGCCATTCTCATTACTCCACATTCTACAACACCAACATTCTCTCTGAGCTAATCTTCAACCTGTCTGCCCAACACACAACAATCAGATGTCAGCAGAAGTCTGGGCAGAACGAAGCTGGAGGTGGCTACATACTCAACCCCGCTGATACAAGGGTCTGGAAAGCTGCCCAGAAGACATGACCTCAGCCGAGCCCCAAAGGCCAAGGAGGAGGTAGTCATGTGGAGCTTTCCAAGCAGAGAACAGAGAGTACAAAGGCCTGGCAGTGAGAGAGCACGGCATAGAGAAGGCTGGATCTTAGAGGCTAGAAAGAAGGACAAAAAGGTGAAGACACAAGACAAGAAAAAAATGATTATGGAGTCAGCAGGTGGCATGGAGGTTGAGGCACTGGATTCCCACATGGCTGACCATGATTCGAGTCCTGAGCCTGGCAGTATGAAAGTCACAACGAATGGATAGATGAATAAGTAAATTGTGTGTGTGTGTGTGTGTGTGTGTGTGTGTGTGTGTGTATGTGTTTAATTATCGCGACATGCTAAAGTGATTGAGGCTTGAACCTGCAGGCAATAGGTAGAAGAAGGAAGTGAAGATAATCTCATTAGCATTTCAGAAAGCTTCATAGATAATAAAAAAAAAAAATACGAGTTGAGCACCTACTAAGTGCTGAGAATACAGTGCTGAGTAAGACAAAGCTTCTAGAAATAAAGATACACTCAGTACTGCAAAAGCAATTGATCATAATCATGATGACTATGATAGAGAAGCAGGAAGTACTCATCTTTCATTAATATTTATTATGTACCTATACGTCAGGTGCTGAGAATACAGCAGTGAACCATGCAGACAAGAATCATCCCTGCCCCCACCATGGAACTCACAGTCCAGCAGTAAGAAACAGATAACCAACAAATAAATAAAATAAAATGCACCATATGTCAGACAGTAATAAGTGCTATAGTGAAGCACAAAGCAGGGAAGGGGATAAGAACCGTTTGAAGGCTGTGACAGGAAATGTAACTTTTTTTGAGAGAGAGATTTTTGCTATAGGGTGTGTTTGCTCACCAGAGAGACAGAAAGACAGAGTGAGAAATCACCCCCAGAGGAGATGGCCACACCACAATCCCTTCTCCTCCATTCTCCTCTTGGATTTTGGCCATGCACACACACACACACACCGGCATGAGTTTTAAGCTGCCAGGTCTGGGACTCAAACCGCAGTCAACTATGTGGGAGTCCAGCAATGTAACCATTACACAATCGGCTGGCCCCAGGGAATGTAATTTTAAGTTGAGTAGTTGGGGAAGCCTCACTGAGAAGGTCATGTTTGAGCAAAGATCTGAAGGAAGGGATGGAGTTAACCATATGGATCTCTCAGGCTAACATTTATTGAATAAAGTACTAGTAAGTACAAAGACCTTGAGATAGATGTGTGCTGGGCAAGTCAGAGACAGGCTGGGGGAGAGCAGGGACCAGATCATACCCAGGGCATAAGAAAACTAGAAGAGAGACAGCCAGAGGGGTAGTGCTTGAGGCAACTGGATCCCACATGGCCAACTTCACAGTTCAAGTCCCAGACCCAGTGGCTTGAAAAATACACTTGGTGCATGTGGATGTGTGCACAGAATCCTAAGAAGAGAAGGGATTGTAGTCCACTCTTCCCTCCTGGGGAATGATTTCTCCCTCTCTCTCTCTCTCTCTCCCTCTCTCCCCCTCCCCTTTCCCTGTCTCTATAGCAAACAAGAAAAAGAGGATGACTGTGAGGAACCTGGCTTTTCGTCTGAGCTGCATGGGAAGCTATGGGAGGATTTTAAACGGAGGAATGGCGTACACTGACTTCAGAGGAGCACTGTAGCAGCTGCCATGAAAAAAGCCTGCAGAGGAGCAAGAGCAAAAGCCAGAAGACCGCTTTGGAGGCACCTGCAATAACCAAGCGAAAGATGGTAATGGTTAGCACCGGGGTGGTAGCAACAGCTAAGAAGTGGTTGGATCTTGAATATATTTTGAAGATGGAATCAACAGGATCTGCCAACAGATTGGATAAGAAATATCCGAGGGAGAGAAAAGTTCAGCATAGTTTCCAGGTGCTTTGCTCTGAACTGCTTTTCTTCAGATGATGGCTGCAGGAGGAGCAGGTTTGGACAGGAAGACCCTGAGTTCATTCCTGGACACATTGGGTCTGAGATGTCCACCGATGACCACGGGAAGATACCGAGTAGGCAGTAGCTTATGCAAACAAGTCTGGAGATAGGAATAGAGTCACAAAGTTATCTGCATAGGAAGGACAGCTAAAGCCATAAAGTGATGGGATTGCTCAGGAGTGAGTGTGGACAGAAAAGGGAAGTGGTCACAGGACTGACCTTGAGCTCTGGAGCTCTCTAATTTTTGGTGGTGAAGATGAAAAGGAACCAACAAAAGAGGATGGAAAAGAGTGGCAGTGAAGTAGACAGAGACCAGAGGTGGGAAGCCCTGGAGACCAAAGGAAGTGTTTCAAGGGGGCAGTAGTGTCGGTATCAAAGGCGAAGTCCATGAAGGTGAGCTGATAACTGACTCCTGGGTTGAACAATCTTGTTTAGAGCAACTGGAGTGAAGGGAACACGGTGGAGTGAAAGTTTGACTGGAATGAATTGACAGAGGAATAGGAGGAGATGAGCTAGAAACAGTGAATACGAGCTCTTTTGCAAAGTTTTGTTTTAACATGGAGCAGAGAAAGGGCACAGCAACCAGAAGGAAATAAAGGATCAGTTTTTGTTTTTGTTTTTGTTTTTGTTTTCTGAGAGAGGAGAAATTGTAGACCATTTATATCATATTTATATTCCATATATATGGAATGATCCAGTGAGAAAGAAAAATTGATAATGCAGGAGGGCATCTGTTTGAGGAGGGGAGGTTGCTAAAATAATATGGATTTTTGCTTTTTAGAGAGAGATTTTTGCTATAGGGTGCATTTGCTCACCAGAGAGACAGAGAGACAGAAAGCAAGACATCACCCTCCAGGGGGATGGCCACACCACAATCCCTTCTCCTTCATACTCCTCTCATGCCAGCGTGAGTTTTAAGGACTCGAACCACAGTCGACTATGTGGGAGTCCAGCAACGTAACTATTACGCCATCTGCTGGCCCCTAAAATAACATTTTTAAGTAGGTGGAAAGGTTTGGAGTCCTGTGACAAGTAGAGGGTTTGACTTTAGCTAGTATAATAGGTTCATCCATGGTTAACAGGATAGAAGTGAGTATATGCTATGATAAGACCACGTGGACATTTTCTGAAAAAATACACAGAAGCGGGGCCAACAGGTAGCATGGTGGTTAAGGGCGCTAGATTCCAACATGGCTGACTGCATCACAAATCTGACGGCTCGCTTTCTCACTTTCCCTCTCTCATTCTGTCTGTCTCTGGCGAGCACATGTGCCCTATAACAAATTAAATAATAATAACGATGATGAATGTGATTAAATAAATAATTACTTAGAAGCAATCAAAAGAGATAGGAAACTAAGTCATCGACTGAGCATGAAGACAGCTGAAGAGACATTTGGCGTTGTGAAGAACAAGGTGAGAAACAGAAGCTGAGGATGCTGGGAGGATAAGTGTACAAGGAAAGTGTAATAGGCTGGCTGAGCAGCACTTAGGACCCACATGAGGTCAGTGGTAATAAAGTCAAAATGAGACCAGTCAGTACAGTTTGTATATACCAGGAGGGCCGAAGCTGGTTCCCCAAAGTAGGTTTAAGACAGAGGCAGAGCATTGACGGGATGGGGAGGTGTGGCGTTGTCTGTTGAAGATATTTTGATCAACTGGATTGGGGAGAAATGTTCACATATTGAAATGTTCACTTTGTAAGCTAAACAATGTGATTGAATGTATATAAAGAAATAAAAATAATAAAGTAGGTTTAAGGAACTGACAGAAGGCACTAGAATCTCAAGGAGGGCAGGATGGGAGGCAAGGCCTGGGAGGCCATGCTAAAGGTGTTGGTTCTATCTGAAAGCAACAAGAAGTCATTGAAAGACTTGGGACAGGGTGTGTGTAATTACGGTGACATTATGGAAAGGTCGCTCTGCACAGGGTGGTGAGATCCCAGACTAGGCAAGTGAGGACGGTGGCTTGGACTGGGGAACTGTCAGTAAATATGGAACAACAGCTTTCAAGAAGATTCAAGATATTTGAGGGAGATAAAATCAGTAAGAGTTAAATGATGGATATGGGATGAGAAGCAGGAACGTGGCAAAGGTGATGTCTAGGTTTCCCACTGCTTGGATGGTGGCTTGATTCACCAAGGTAGGGAAGCTTGAGAGAGAAACAAGTTTGGTGGCTGCAAATCTAGTTTGGGCATGCCAAACTTTCCCATAAGGAAACTTGAAGGCTCTTATTAATTCCAGGCAAGAGAGTCCCGGACCTGGTGGCTTAAAATTTACCCCAGGGACATGTGCGTGTATTTCCAAAATCCAGAGAATGTAGGAGAAAGGATTGCAGTGTGGCCATCCCTCCTGGGAGGGTGATTTCTCACTTTCTGTCTGTCTGTCTCCCTCTCTCTCTGTCTCTCTCTCTCTATCTGGTGAGCGTATGCACCGTATAGCAGAAATCTCTCTTAAAAAAAAAAAGAAAAGTCGTGGGACCAGCAGTTAGCGTAATGGCTATGTCGCTGGACTCCCACGTAGTCGACCGCGGTCCGAGTCCCGGACCCGGTGGCTTAAACTCACGCCGGGCACGTGTGCGTATGTGCCCAAGATCCCGAGAGGAGAATGGAGGAGAAGGGATTGCGGCGTGGCCATCCCTCCTGGGGGGTGA